CCTGGACCCTCAGATTAAGAGTCTGATGCTTTACCGACTGAGCTATCCCCACTTCACAAACCTAACCTAACTTAAACCTAACCTAAATCTAACTTAAACCTAACCTAAACCTAACCCAACGACAGAAGAGCTTGAAATATTGAAACGACGAAATTTCGAAGTTTCATAAAAACTTTAAGCAAGTGTTCAAACGTTTTTCGCGTGTAATCGTACAGTTGGAAAAATCCACGAATAATAACTGTGCCGTTGACTCACCGTAGCAAGTCTTCTCTGCTTCCTTCTCTTTTTTTTCTTTCTTCGCTTGGCATAGGTCGCCGACATGGCTGCAACGTCTGTGGTTCTGATCATGGGCCCGCCCTGTATCGTAACACCTTGGACAACAGAAACATCGCCAATTAAACACTCGGTTTTTTTATGTACCGACGAACAACACCGCCGCTCGCCAATAACAAAGTTCAACGAAACGTGTGTCTTTGTAGAAACTTTCGCCCCTAGGTGAATTCCACCTGAGGATCGACAGGTTGAAAATTCGAGGAGCAGATCGACAATGACGCGAATCGAAGAGCAACGGATACTGAACTTGGCTTCTCCGTCGTTTCCTCGTCCTTTCGTTCACCCGTGTGGATAAGCCCCACGGGACCGACGGACAGTTATTTTAAATCGTTTCTATTTAAGACGCACCCAGCGATCGGAGTTAGATCTCTCTGCCGAAGCCGAGAGATCTCGCGATGCATCACCGGTGGGGGACGAGACGCTGCAGAAGAGTGCAAAGACAAACGAAAATTTCATTTATTATTTACTTCCTTACGCTCGTGGCTACGGCAATATTATTCTTCGATGCAAGAAAAAAAAAAAAAAAGAAACAGAATTTCTCGAACTTGTGTGTTTGAAAATCCGATCTTTGAATTTCGGCAATGCGATGAAACGAGAAAAAGAGTTCAGAATGAAATGAATGGAATATTTTTAAAAAGCTCGGACTGTTTCGTTTGCGATTTCTCATTAACCGAGATCGACAGAGTAATATTTCACGTAGAAAAAAAAAAAAAAAAAAAACAAAGACAATATAGACTTCCACAATTGTGTCTCGTTAAAAACGTGTGTCATCCCTATCGTGACGAATATATACATGATTTCCTTATGATGGTTTCCCGTGAACCGGGAATGAAATACGTGTTTCTCATGTGCGACGTGCGATATATATATATATATATATATAACGGTGAAAGAACATTCAGATGACGAGAATCGTGACGATTAGGAGAACGTAGTAATATGCAAGAGAACACACACATACGAGCGTGTTAGAGAGTCTTGGGCTTTAGGTACGATCGCCGGATCATCATCGCCATCCTCAACTATTTTCGTTATGAAAAACGTAAACGCAACACCGCGACCGCGGTTTAACACTGTCCAAAACTTAAGGAGCTTTCTCTATTCTCGCGGTCGTGAAAAGCGTTCTACACAGGAACAGCAAGCATTGTATCGTTCGCTTGAACTTCGTCGAAACGTAAATTGATTGTAAATTAGTAAGATTAGCATACTGGTAACTAACTCACTAAAGTATCTGGATACTTACTACAGACACACAGTGTTAACTCTTAAATAACGTCGACACGTTTCGTGTAACACGTATATTGTATTAACAAAAGATTTCTCTAACCGTTTGATTACTTTCACGAAAGAAAATTAATTATTATTCTCCCTCTATTGCATTCCGTTCCCAATTGGGGACTTGAATTTCAAACGTTCTATAGTAAATTAAGTAGACAATTTATTGGTAGTTGTTTGCCAACAGGTCATAAAATCCGATACATAACATTTTCTAATAAAATTTTATTATTTATTTCATGACCACACTCGTTTTTAAGTAAACTAACAGCCATGTATGTTTTTTTCAACTGGTCATAAAAATTCATGCAATAGAGGGTTAAACATGGCTTCTGGATACATAAGATTGTTGGTGTTGATAGAGAATTGTACTTTGTGGTTGAACAATGCTATATAACTGTAGAAGAGAGAGCAGCCTCTTCTTTTACAGAGTTTCAAATAAATGCTAAATAATCTAAAAATATTGTACCTAAATATACAATTTCATAACCACACTCGTTTTTAAGTAGACTAACAGCCATGTATGTTTTTTTCAACTGGTCATAAAAATTCATGCAATAGAGGGTTAAACATGGCTTCTGGATACATAAGATTGTTGGTGTTGATAGAGAATGTACTTTGTGGTTGAACAATGCTATATAACTGTAATGCTATAAAACTCTGTAATAGAAGAGAGAGCAGCCTCTTCTTTTACAGAGTTTCAAATAAATGCTAAATA